GTTAGATTCAGTTAGATCTTAATAACAATATTATTTACATATTTTCAGCAATAATTTATCTTTGGCCATCTTCTTTTTAAGCAAAAGACCCACAAATTGTGTATGTTAATTTTTATATCTCAAAATTAATAAAGACATTCATGGTATTTTTTTTCTTATTTACTTTAATGGATATATTATTTTATAGTAATTTATAATTATTTAATATAGAATATAATAATGGCAAGTGGTATCTCGATATTAAATTGGGACAAAATTCGTGCAGTAATTTTATGAAAAATATTTGTTTCAATGTTGGAATAAATATCAAAGATTGTGATATTATTAATCACTCGAGAAGAACTACACCAATTACACACTTGTTTCGTGAGGGTTTCCGATTGTTACCTCAATGTTAATAACCGGCCATAAAAGCGAATCGTCATATTATATATATTCAAGGCCAAGTAAACAACAAAAAAAAGATGCCTTGTCTACATTGATTAGTGTTGTTGATCTTCTGGAATCGCGGGATAATGATGGCATTGATGATTTTTTCAATAAAAAACAAGATCTGGTAAAGTTTTTGATTATTTTAAATTAAATTTCATATATTTACATATTAAATATATATTTATTTTAGAAATCTGATAATTATGACTCTTCTGGCTCTCATATCCTACCAAAAAGCTCAGTATATTCTGAGTTTCGAAGCCCCTTAAAAAATAGCACAAAACCAAATTTACCTTCTCATATTAATACTACTAAAAAAATCTAACTCTTGGTGGAAAAGGCTGTTACAGCCATCTCAATCTAGTTTGCAAAATATGTCGAATAGTGAGCAAGATACTACGATCATTAATAATTATTATGCTGATCATATTACAATTAATCAATATTGAAAATATAATGTAATTTAAATAAACTAATTAATAAAGCAGCAATATAGCTTTTTAAATGGTTTATTATTATTTTTTTTTTGAAGTGTTAAAATATTGAAAATCATTTATACAACCACAATTTTAAAACATCTCACCTCAGTAGAGTCATTTGCACAACTATAACAATTTTAAAAAATTCTAGCTTAGTAAAGTCATTCACGCAACCATAACAATTTAAAAAAATCCTGCCTCAGTAAAGTCATTCGTGCAACTATAAAAATTTTAAAAAATTCCACCTTAGTAAGTTATTCGCACAACCATAACAATTTAAAAAAAAATCCCACCTCAGTAAAGTTATTCGTGCAACTATAACAATTTAAAAAAAATCCCACCTCAGTAAAGTCATTTGCGCAACCATAACAATTTTAAAAAAAATCCTGCCTCAGTAAAGTCATTCACGCAACTATGAAAATTTTAAAAAAATTCTGCCTCAGTAAAATCGTATGCGCAACCATGAAAATTTTAAAAAAATCTCACCGCCTCAGTAAAGTCATTTGCGCAACTATGACAATTTCAAAAAAAAACCTCCCACCTTAGTAAAGTTGTTCACGCAACCATACTATTCATAAAATATAGACATGATGTATTATAAAATACAGATATTACTATAAAATATAGATATGACATATCATAATTACTATGAAATAACAAATTTATTTATGAAGCTGATCATAGTAAAAAAAAAAAAATTAGATATTGCTTTTACTATATAATATAATAAGGATTATATATATTGGTGTATATAAAATCTAGTGAAGGTGACAGTATATGTTGTTTTGCAAGTATATCAGCTAAGTTGTTATGATAGTCATCAGTATGAGTTTAAACTTTGTGGAAGATAATTTATAAATTATGTGATTTAGAGATATTAAGTAATGTGTGCTATAAAGGCCAGAAACTAAATTTAAAAGGTTTGTTGGGATTGTAAGAGTTGATAAGATTTGTGTATTTGAAAATAACAGATTGTGAATTAGTAAAAATATTTATAGTTGAATTATGTGGAGTAGTAGAAATTGCAGATAAAATAGAAAAGTTTTGCTTTAAAAGAAGATGGCCAAAGATAAATTATTGCTGAAAATATGTAAATAATATTGTTATTAAGATCTAACTGAATCTAACTTATGCTTATTGATATTGGTTAGTATCAATATCAATTACAGATCTATCTGTATAAAAATTAAATTAGGATTGTGAAGAGTTTGTAATTGAAAATTGTTTAAGCTTAGATATAGATTCTCTAGCCTCAAAAATTTGAAGTGTGCTGAAGTAGTTAATAGGGATTAAGGGTAGTAAAGAAATTTGAATAAGGTGTTTGACTGCAGTAGAATAAATAAGATCCATGTAGTTAGTATAAAAATTAAGGTTATTAGAAAAGATCCTTCCAAAGAATTGAGTAAAGAT